GTTTTTTTAAACATGATTACTATAACAACTGCTTCTCATTAAATAAAGTTAAAAAAGAATCCAATAGGACATTCTGGTTTACATTCTTCAGAATAATAATTGAACACACATATATCCACAAATCTCCCGTTCCTTTCCTTCGTGGAAACAGAAAATTGGATATATCAGTCTGAAAGAATCTCTCTTCTAAAGTAAGCTCACTATGGTAACAGTTAAAGGCAACTTTGAGCAACGAAGTAACAATGCTTTGCAATTACAGTACAGCGCCTAAACTCTATAGTTTCCCCATCTGCAACAGCTTTCCATTCAACTAGCAAACAGTATCTCCTTGTTCATATTGTGATTTCAACTCTTTTTCCTCTCCCAAGTCCAATTCTACTCCAAAGGGCTTGGATAGGAAGTCCTTTGGTTTCCCTCTCTCTTTCTTCCCTCCTCCCTTTCTCCAATTACCTCATACATGGGCTGGCAGTTTCTACGTCTAGGCATGCATTTGTTTTAAGAAACACACCCAAGTGTAGTGTGCTCTGCTGTATATGGAAGCAAGTTCAGCTGTTGCTGGTTAGTGCAGCTCGGTTCAGAATGCAAATGAAAGGAAAAGGCACAGCAGCTCGGAGACCGTCTTTTCTGTTGCAGAAGGAAATTATTTAGATAGATAGGTCTTTTGCTAAGCTAAAAGTGAGGGATATGTATTTGGATGTAAATATAAGAAAACAAAATAACACAGAACTGTTCTAGACAACTGTACTGGCACCAGGACGGGGAAATATACAGAAAAAGCCGCTGACGTTTTACTCTTTCAGAAAAGAGTCATCAGAAGGTTAGTATCTATACATTTTCTTTGCTGTCAATATGCATGCATTTCCCCCCATACTGGATAAAATTAAGTTCGCTGTCACTATAGACACATAGTTTAGAATTTATTGTACTGCATTGATTTTTATGATACTCCATTATAGAAAGTCATCAAAATACTATTAGTTGCATGCTGAGGGAAGGTGTGGGTTTAGGATCTTCTCTTACACATTCACTCCCCACTGTTATAAGCTTCCATGGTAAAACTATTTTTAATGTTTTTGTATTAGTTTAATGTTTTAAATTTTTTCTTAATAAAAAAACTAGCAAGTAAGTAAGTAACTCTCAGACTATTTCAGGCATATCGATTATTAGCAGGAAAATCTGTAATTTAAATCTTCATTTAATTTTGTTCTATTCATGTACTAATATTGAGCCCCAAGTTTTTGATCAAAATCATTCCATTTGTACTTGGAATAAACATGTATCCACTGTGCATAATAGATTTAGATAAATGTAAGATTCAGTTATCTCTTTGCTGCTATAGGAACTCAAAAATTGCTAAATTAACTTCCAAAAGAAAGTTAACCCAATATAATGTACTAATTATCTTGGCTCAAAGTTAGAGCCCATGATTACTGGATACAATAATTTCTGTTGTATCCAATAAAGAACAATACAAATATTGGAGTTTTCTTTGGCACAAAAGCATTACATTCTATGTTCCACTGAGATATATTGCTTATACATGTTTAGTTCTAAAAGCATTTTTTTGCTCTTTTAGAAAGTACCATGTGATATTACTATATGCACTGAACAGTTATTCTCAAGTTCTAATTAAAATCGTTTGTTAAGCAAAAAGCAACAAAGTTCAGGATCTTATTAGAATACCTAGCTGTGGAATCTAAGTTGTTGGAATCTATGGCATTCTTCTGCAACCTGGTGCGCTCTGGATTTTTTAAAACTTTTGTCAGACCCAGTCAAGATAGAAAACAACCAAATTAGAAGGTGGCAAAATATCCAGAGGACATCATTTGAAGCAGCTGGTGTAGAATCACTGATATTCATGTATTGTAGTTACCAGTATAGGTAAGAACCAAGTGTTTCATTTTAGCAAAGGATGTATCAAAATAATTTCAGAGCTTTAAGCAGAGCTTTAATTTTATCAGTTTTTATTGATTAAAGTTAATACTGCCCTTTTCAAACTATTTGTATTTAGTTGTAATAGATGTTTACCTACTCATTATGCTTCAGAAACTGTTTCTATTAATCTGATAAGACAATGTAAGTATTGTGCACTTCAAAATGGAAAATGGAAGACTTATGTTTGCATGTGTGAACTTACTGCTGAATAGCTGCCATTAAGTAGGAAATAATTCCAGATTGTAGATTGTAGAACTCAATGGTAAAAATTATAATGTAAGTATTCTGGATTTTCCCTGGATTTTCTGAAAAGTATGATTCTGCAAATCAAGATGTCTATAGAGTTAGGATCAAAGTATTCTAGAATGTTGATCCAATAAATGCTATTTTGCCGGAATTTGCTTAAAAACCTGCAAATACAGTGTACCTGTAAAAGATAATTGAACGCCACAACAAATTCTTCATGCTGCAAGAATGGTATTCAGTTAAAATTGTAGTATTCAAGAGAAAGTATTTGAAGTAGTAAGCTATCTTTAGCTTTATTGTAAGTCAAGTACACACTATTTCCTTTTCTGACTGATTTTCAGAGTGTGTAAGACATTAATATCACTGAATACTACTATCAGTTCATAGAAATTCTATAGTTACAGTACAAATTTTATTTATTCAGTTCCGTATTCTATGTGATTGTTTTCAAGACAATCAAGAGATGCATCATTTTTATATAAAAAT